TTGTGGCCCAGTTCGAATGCAAACTGCGAAGCCAAACTGCCGTAAAAGATTGCCTCAGCTAAATCTGCTTTGGGTAAGTACTAAATTAGCTCGCATATAATGGATTAAAACAGTCCGCCATTTTAAGCGAGTCTATAATATCCGAGGATTTTACATGCAGTTATTTATAGGACCTTAAATGGTGTCCATTATATACGGGTTTCCATTATAAGTAGATTCCACTGTAATTCTTTAGAAAAGCTAAGTTTGAATTTGCATTTAAACGTTGTGGCAATATGTGCATTTTAGATAATCAAAGCTTTATTTCAATAAATGTTCAAAAAGACCAACATTCTGGCGGATATCAGGAGACCTCGCAGGCCAATTTACTGGTCTGTTTCTGCAAATCCATCGATGTCTAAATTGATTATTTAACCATACGGTTATGTCACGACGAACATGCGGTGAGGCACCGTCGTGCTGATACCACACTCGTACTCTCGTTGCTAACGGAACATCATCTAATATATTTCCTATGTAATTCTCTAGAAAAGCTAAGTATGAGTTTGCATTTAAACATTGTATTAATACGTGCATAAACAGTTTGTAAATGCCGTACCAGACATTTCTAGAAAATCTGTGTTGAAACGAGTGGATTCTTACAGAACGGGGATTTTTTAACGACCAAATATATTCATTATGAGAATTAAAGGTTCCACTCCTCGTAAAAAGCTATTCATCTAACCACAAAACCAAATCAATAAAATCTGACAGTGCACATTTTGCCGATGGTAAAGATGTAAAACTTCCCGATTCCCAAATTAATCACTTCCACTTCCTCTTGAACAGTGTGCCAGCCACCACAGCCTCTACCTCCGGGAAGTTTGGCAATTCCATATTGCCGAAGTCTTAGAAATGAATGCGTAAAAACTTTTGGGGTAGGTTGGCGTCTGTTAGGAAATCTACGTTGATACACCCGAGAAGCCGCTACAGCATTTCCATTACAGAACCAGTACACAAAAATAATATCGGCTTACTCATCATTGCTAAGTTCCATTTCACAACACTCAAAAATGGAAAAAACAAACTTTTGACTTTTACAAAAAAAAATAGTAGTAATGATAACAACCGTATAACACAGAACTTTGATAAACTATCTTCCAGAAACGTCAAGTTTGTATCAAGGCATCCTATTTTATTTTGAAACTAATTGTATCTCTTGATGAATGATCTAATTTGTTATATTTTTATTTTTACGAAAACAGTGCACTCTACGAAAATAACAAGAGTAATTATTTTTAGCAAATTGAAGGTAAAATTCGAAAAATTGCGCGTTTTGAAAAAACAGTGGCGTACTATTTTTATTTGAAAAATAGTGCCTCTTATACCCTGTATCTCAGCCACTAGTGCACGTTAATTTTAAATAAAGACTTTTGAATGTGGACAATACTTAGGTGAATCCACATACCAAATTTTAGTTCATTCCTGCTGACGGTTTTGAAGATATTAATAAAAATGTTTTTTATTTTTAAACTTCAACACCACGTATCTTTTTAATGAAGCCCTCGAGGAAAAATGTTACATAGAAGACTTAAGACTTAAAATGCGGTTATGTGTATAATGTTTCATTTTTGGTCACGACTTGTGAATTACCCTGTATATCTACGAAGCGGAAGATACTGAGATAGAATTTTAGACCTTCAGTGAACACATCATCAGCAATAAACATACAGTTTCCTGGCCCAAACTAAACCAGGGACATAGAAACCAAGGTACGTGGACCCCTCTAATAGGAAATATTTTCTACGCCATTGACCTTTCCGGAGAAAGTACATTTTGTAAAATATCATTCAATTTTCCATAATTTTTGTCTCTTGAGGAATGTTTGTCAGATCACTCGTTTTGGAGATATCGACTATGACATTTTTGGTTGCAGTTTTATTGTGAAGGAATAAATCGCGTATTCTAAGTTAAAACTTAAATTTTTTATATACTCGTATACGTATATGCTTTGTTCGTATGGAAATACATCTAGGCTAACTTTTATTTCTATAAATTGCTCCGTTATTGGCGATAAGCTGATGGGCAATAAATGCTCATTATTACTTTGACAAGGGTTGTTTTAGCACGACAAAGTCGCTATACATAACTCCTCAGCCATAGATTAATAACACTTGAAGGCATGTAAAGTAAAATGTACCATCAGTTAGATAAAATAATCGCTTTTAATGTTCTCAGTATGACCGTTAAATAATATAAAAAAGGTTTTGGCATTAGCCTGTTCTTCATTTGTCGAGTTAAGACCCACTATAGGAAAATTACTGTTTTAGACATTTGAAGTTTTATAATAATAATAATCTATATATGTACAAAAATGAAGGAATTCTTGACTGATGACGTTACGAAACAAATGACTTATCTGATAATTTCAAGGCCCACTTAGGAAACTCGTTTTTTTTTTATTAACTTAAGTTTTGAAATGTCAATAAATGGCATATTATACATTTTTAGAATCAGAATAATTAAACACTCCACGTACGTGTCTGAAACGCAGAATAACAAAAAAAAAAGTTGATGACTGAGGACAAGAGACGATGTCATATTGAAATTCAGATTATGCCATCTTCTACAGCGGAAAAAATCGCAATGTTAATGTACTTTTTATTTTGGAGTACCATCTCGGAAAAAAACGATTATTACATTTTTGTCATCTATCCCTGAAAATACTTGGAATTGCACAGTTTTCTAAGTGTCATTTTCATAGTTACCTAAATGCGTAACTTTGCCCCTATTTAATCGACTTCGTATCTCTTAGCGTTTGCGAGATCCCAATGTTGAGAGGAAAATTCAAAACACCCTCCAGGGTGGCCCATCCATGTGTGGACGGAATATTACTCATAAACAAATACATTTTGGAAACATCTATTTATGGCATGTTATTCATGACATTTGAAGGCACAATTCTAAAATATTGGCAATTATACAGGGTGTCCCAGTATCGACCTACATATCAAAGTTGTGATTTTTCAAATGGAATGTCTCAAATTTTATTGCATATTTGGATAAACCAATTCAAAAGAAGAAGATTGATATAACATACTATGGGGATTTGGTAATTAGCTACTGAGATGTAAGATGTTTTGTCTAGAAAAACCCTCCACTTCGGCAACCTCTCAGTCCGCCATTTTGAAATTTGGAGAGCAGAATTTTGTATCAAAAAAAACTTACGCACCTTAGCTTTTATTTTATTTGTTACTTTTTCTTAATTTTTGCTCATACAGGGTGGTCAAAAACGCAAATTGTAGTTTTTCTCAAAAATTTCAAATGCATCACCCTGTATATTTGTGCAAGTTTGGATTCAATTTTATATAAGCTTTTTTTTATACCAGACACATAAGGGTTTTTACGGCTATTTTTTCGGTTATTAGCACGTCTCTTATGGAACGGCTTAATTCCCAGAATATCGCATCATCCTTGGAAACAAATAAATTGTTTATTGGTTACAGTCAATATTAGCTTTGTGAGAATTATAATAAAAACGCGTTCGTCCTCAGGATTTCGCAGCTCGAATGGAGTTTAATAGAATAATGCTAAATAAAGTGAGTGAAGACACTACTTTCCTGGATCCAGAGGTGTTTCAACAGGCATAACGCACTATTATGCGACGGAAAACCCTCACTGGGTTAGGCAAATAGATTTCCAAAATAAATGGAGCTTGAATGTTTGGGGAGGAGTTACTGGCAGACAAGTTATTGGGCCTTTCTCTTTCGACAACAGATTAACAGGTACAGAATACTTGAATTTTCTGATCGAGCATTTGCCTTTGCTTTTGGAGGATGTCAACCTGCACACTCGGATGCACATGTACTTCCAACATGACGGCGCACCTGCGCATTATCATAATCGTGTGCGTAACTATTTGGACACCTGGAGTAACAATCGTTGGATCGGTCGTGATGGGCCTATATCTTGTCCTCCTAGATCAGATATATCCCCGATGGGCTTCTTTCTATGGGCCTACGTTAAACAAGAGTTTATAGATATCCACCATCTACCCCGGAAAATATGAAGGTAAGGATTAAGGATGCTTTTCTTAAGGCTACGGCTGTATATTCAACATGGTGGAGATATTTTCGAGCAGTTTTTGTAGATTAGGTCTTGAGTAGTGATAGTTGTTTGTTTATGTTGTTGTTATAGTTGTTTTTCTCTATTACGCTTGAAGCTGATGTATACTGTTTTGACTGTTATTAGTTTTTACGTCAAATCTGTACTCTTAGCGGAAATATGGAACTAGCCGACAGTTTGTCTTTTGTTTCCATGGATGATGTGATTTTTTTCCTTAATTTTGGTATGTTGTTCTATTAAAAGCTTAATAACTCAAAATCTAGAGATTTTATCTGAATCAAACTTAAATAAAAAAAGCTTATAAAAAAGTGAATCCAAACTTGCACAAATATACAGGGTGATGCATTTGAAATTTGAAAAGTACAATTCGCGTTTTTGACCACCCTGTATGAGCATGGAATTACGAAAAAGTAACAAATAAGATAAAAGCTGAGGATACAAAATTAGCACTCCAAATTTCAAAATTACGGATTGAGGGGTTGGCGAAGTGGACGGTTTTTCTGGACAACACACCTTACATCTCAGTAGCTAATTACGAAAACCTCATAGTATGTTATATCAATCTTCTTCTTTTGAATTGGTTTATCCAAATATGTAATAAAATTTGAGGCATTCCATTTGAAAAATCACAACTTTGATATGTAGGTTAAAATTGGGACACCCCGTAGAATTGCAGATATTTTAGAAATGTGCCCTCAAATGTCATTTATAACATGCCATTAATAGATTTTCCCAAAATGTATTTGTTTATGAGTAATATTCCGTCCACGCATGGAAGGGCCACCCTGTATATATTTCTCAATTTGACAAACTACGTGCTAATTCTTACTTAAAACCACCATTATTAGAAATGGCCATGATTACAGTAAAGAAAAATGTTCTGATATTAAATATATTTATTTTTTAAAGCACACATAAAAGGAAAAAGTAACAAAAGCGTTATAAAAAATACATTTTTAAAAACAAGCTTTTATTCAGCTAGTAATAAAATGAACTGAAAATCTAAAATGAAAATTGCCATGTTGCGAGTGCCGCCATGTTGAATTTAGTGTGGCCTCATTTTGTTGATTTGGTTTCTCTAATCAAGCCCTTTCATTTGATACCTATATAGTGGTTTTACTAAGGAAATACCAAATCGCCATTATGTAACATCAGCCACATTGAATTCAAAATGGCAGCTGTTAATTCATTTTGTAGTGTCACACAAACGAAACGTGTGTACAAAATTTCAGCTCAATTGGTTAAGGTTAACTGATTAGAACTCAGATTTATCCCACATACTATTATAACAGGTGAAGTTAAATAAAAGCTTGTAAAAATCAACAAATATTGGCACAGTAATAGCAATACATATATTATAGTATATGTACAATCATCAAATTTATTGAGTCTTTCAGGTTGTGAATATATATTCTTTATTTCAGGAAGCCCTGGAATATTTTGTAGTTCATAAGTTTTAAAATACGTATTAATCTAACATTCATTTTTTTACTTTGTGTTTACTGTTTGAGCTACACTCTTTTCTGGTGCAAACATAATTGCTTGTCATCTTTCTAAAAAAAAAAAAAAAATAGAGAACAGACGGAACAGTTTATGTACAATATTTTCAAAATACTTCGTTCGAGATTTGTTCTATGAATATCTTTCATTTTTCGACAACTTATGCGGCATATTTATCGGTGTAAAAACCTCATAATCTGCTACGGTAAAATTATAATCCCCCATCAAAATAGACGGAGAAGCCCCTTCTCCATCATAGGTATGAGGCAAATTCGAATAACTGTCCATATTACTATTACAATTATTCGAAATCAACAAATCTGCCCCAGCACCGAATATTGGTCCAGAGTCCGGATGATAGCATATCGCGAAGGGTTTTTTGATGATATGGAACTGCGTGGGCGGAAGATTCTGATGATTGCACAATGTGAACAAAAACGCCCTCTCTGAGGCGGCGTAGTGACTCTTCCCGGAAGGCCGCTCCCATGGGGTATCGCTGAATCCTCCGCAAATTTCTCCACGCACTCCCAAAACTATGACGTAAGTAGGTGCGATACCGTCACAGTGTCTGTGGAAAGCGGTACCAGAGTAACCGTGACTGCTTGCTCTGTAGAGCAGCCTCCAGGTTTGCTTCGCGTAGCCATACCAGGTGTTGAGTATCCTCTGGAAATGACTCTTGTCTTGACCTAGTATCAACGAACCTGAAAGTAATAAACATACCGGAACCCTTATTACGCAACTTCAAATTTATAGGGATTGCGCCATAATTGTCATTTTCGAAGTAGCTATCCTTTACTTTACGTTCACTTGTTGTAGCTGTGTGTGGCAATTAATCAAGCTATCGGCCTTTTGCCATTCGTTCATAGGTGGCGTTCACAGCGAGTACGCGAGGCGTGGGCTAGCGACAAGTGACAAGTATGACCATCAAATCGCTATTACAGAAATTAACATGGGTGCGGATATAACAAAAGTAAAGGAACAACTTTCTATTTTCCAGGTAAGGTTTTTCTGGGTCTATACTAACTTTGAACAAGAAGTACAATAGTGACCTTAAATTTGACCGTCAGTCTCAACTTCAAGTTATTTTACCATCAACTTCTGTTTTTTTAATGAAAAACCTCATTTTTGACACATGCGACTGAAAGAAATGAAAATCCTACGTCCGAAAAGTATTAAAATTTATATTTTTAGATCAAGGTCATCTCTAAAGGTCACTTCTGGCTGAAATATCTTCCGAACGAATTATCAGATCGCAGTTTTGGTGGTTATTTTTGAATCACTTGGACAATTTTACTCCGGAATAGGCAGATATTCCTGAGACAGTAGTAGCGAGAAAATGGAAAAATTGACAAAAATACTAAAATACACATTTTTCCGAACTGAACGTGTCTCCTGGCTGAATTTCGATCTAGGATCTTATAAGTATAAGTACTCTTCAGAAAAAACCGGTTGAGTCTGATATGAGATATTACCCGCCAAGGTAGTCGTGGAATGTTAGTTTTTCAGGCGATTTACTATCTGCGACTTCGTCGGCATTTTAAAGTAACGTAAACTGCACTGCATCTATTACATAAATATCGTCTAATAAAACCATGTCCAACAATTAGAGCCATATCATCAGTCGTTCCTACAATTGTAGGACGTTCTTATGGCGTCCTTGATTTTCATAGCTTTTCCTGTCCTTCATAAAGGCAGGGATATTTCTAGATTTCTGTTTCGTGTCAGCTCTATTTTGAGGTTATGTTTCAAATATTTATTTGCATCAACTTGTTCATGCTTTTGATTTATATTGTTTTATCGGCCTGGAATTTTCTACAATTCAAAAAAAAGCATAACCCCACAATAGGAGAGCGCTGACGCTGACAAGAAACAATAGAAAGCTAGAAATACCCCAGCCTTTCTGAAGAAGAAAAAGGATCTATGAAAATCAAGGAGACCATAAAAGCGTCCTACAATTGTAAGAACGATTAACGATACGGCTCTTGTGTTAGGTAATGGTGTAAGGCATGAATTTTATAAAAAAAAAAGGAAAAAAGTTACCTGACCGCGGGATCGAACTGGGGACCGCTGGATAATGATCCAAGTATACTGCCCACTACACCATTGTGCCTGTTGTTTAATGATTTCTAAAATCAGTACATATGCGCAGGATAGGATAGGATTTCATCATGGCCAAAACTACATATCCAGTGATCGAGACATCAAAAGAGCGGCGGAGTTGAAACGGGGATCGGTTCGATTTTGATCTGCGAGGCTCACAATGACAGACGAACGTTGCCATTTTGGTTATTTCAGTAAATCTGCTACGTTTATGTGATTTGGGTGTGTTTACAGAATTTTGGCGAATAAAATGTTGTTTTGGTTTTTTGTTTCCAAAATCATCTTCAGGTACGTCAGCTGTTGGAAGTAACAAACACGGCGTCGAAAAGTTGCATAGTTTAGATGAAATGTATACTAGACAGTTATGACTAAAAATCAAAATGTTGGTCATTTAGGGCTCACTAATATGATCTCCACGCATTGACAGTGGTGTGTATTGGTTTGCCTTGGAAGATTGCGAATAGCTTTAAACTCAAAACTGATTAGGACATAAGAGATGAAAGTTAGATTTTAGGAATCCATTTATTTACCCAACTCTGTGTTCCTATCATATAGGTTATCACTAGGGAAACATTTTGAGCTTGATCTTATATATGAGCAGCCAAACTGAAATCTTAATTTTGACCCTTATAATTATTCTGTACTTCAATTTCCCTTAATTTTTTCGCTGCTGACATAGATTGGTGTTTTTCTGCATCTAATAAACTATAGAAGCCAGTCACATACTAGTATAAAATAGATACAATTCGTCAAGTCTTCTCAGTTAAGGCCTTTGATTCAGTTGGTCAGTTTGTGTAATCTTCAAGATCTGGATAACCTCAAACCAGATGTTATTAGACATAAGAAAAATTGGTCAGAGCCATTTTTACCTGGGAATGTGTGTGGTGACACTCTAGGCCTCAACCTCTGGTCCTCAGTAGCCTCAGGGTATTTGCTTGGTAGAGCCGCATGTCTGTACCTTTCAAGACTCAGTTCGATTGGAACAGCACCAGTAGGTTCAACTTCTTCTGCAAACACTTGGCTGTCTATCAGCAAAAGTCGAACGTGGTTGATGACGTAGGAGAGATGTTGACAGACGCGTACCCTTTCTTCCTCAGTCCAGTGTGGTGTTGGTTGAGTAACACCTTGAATAGTAAGATGATGAGTGCATTAGATCTAAACAGTATACAGGGTGTCCCAACGAAAATGTAAAGTAGTTTCGTGAGCAAACTGAAAATCTGTTTTCGTGGGAACCTTGATATGTTACTAGTGCATATTTTAAAATAATTTCGATATAGGGTGTTCCATAACTTCGTGCCATAGCAAACATATATTTTTTAGTTTTGACGGCGCGCAGCTCCGCTAATTTTGAAGATATTTAGATACATCTTAGTTCACAAAAATTTTATTATCATCAATTTCAAGTTGATCTGGAAAAGGTGGTGAAAGTTCTTTCTATTTATACAGGGTATCTGAAAACGCAAAATATACCTTTTCTCAAAAATTTCAAATGGAACATTCTGTATATTTTTATTGGTAAACTTTTTTTTTGATATAAGGTTTAAACAACTTTTTTCAAACATTTTTGAGTTATTGCTATTCATTTCAAGAAAAACCTAATACATTCATGAAATTAAATTTTCTATCAAAACATCAGCTTTTATTTACACAACAAAAATATTCTCATTCTAAGTCAATCAATCGTTAATAAATTGTGTATTTTTCGTGTAAAAGGATTTGTCTAGGTATCTGCTTAAACGACTCGCTTATACGATGTTTCATGTCCTCGGGTGTTGTAGATTTCTCCTGGTAAACCTCTCGTTTTACATGGCCCCAGAGAAAGAAGTCGAGACGCTGGCCAATTGATCGGTCCGCCTCTCCTTATCCAACTATTAGGGCGCCAGCGGTCTAGATACTCCCATAGCGATGGTAATGTGAGGTGGGCTACCGTCATGTTGGTACCACAAATTTCCCCTAGTTGTTAAATTTACATTCTCTAGTAACAGAGGTAGACCGTTCCTTAAAAACACATTCCACCTAAAAGTGCTGCTTGGAAATAGTGTGGTCCAATAATTTCATCGCTAATGATGCCAGCCTACACATTTAGTGACCATACATCCACATCCACTTGTCGTACCCAATGCGGTGCATAATAAAGAATATTATGGACCTGAGATCAAGAGAGCTACTTGGAATGTACTATATTACAACAATTTCATAATGAATTACTGTCTTGGGTTAAGATAAGTCTTGTGCGAAAAAAATTGATGGTTTTCATGGAAGATATGATTTTACAAATGGAACATTTTTCTTGGAATTAATAATAGCAATACCTCGAAAACTGTTCGAAAAAAGTGGTATAAATCTGATTAAAAAAAAGATGTAGAAATATACAGGGTATTCCATTTCAAATTTATGAGAAAAAGTACATTTTGCGTTTTGAGATACCCTCTATAAATAGAAAGATATATTAGCATTTCTTGCAGATCAGCTTAAAATCGATGATGATAAGTTTTTTGATACTGTATGGTCACAAATTTGAAAAAAAAATGAAAGTAAGGAACACTGAAGTACATAAAAGACAAACCTTGTTCGTTAATGTTGTTCATACTTTCATGAATTTTGTTGAATGAAATTGTGTAGTCTCAAAAAACATATAAACGCTTGCATAAGCCTATGCAATCGTGCATCTGCCTAATAAAGTCAATACATAGGAATTATTTTCTGTTCTTGGCTTAAAAGTGTCGTATAAAAATGTCATCAAAACCTCGATTACAGTTATGGAGTAAAGGAGCCAACGTTAAGATTATTTCTATTACTCATGATTAAAAAATCTTATTGAATCTCCATACTTTTACCCTGTATATCACGAAACATCATCGATACGTATTAATAATTGATTCGTATTGGTGGAAATAATTTTGTAAATTTCTGTCATGTATTAAAATTAAAAACATAAAATTTGTTATATCTAGTTCTTGACATTGTACACTCATGAATCATAGGTAAATGTTGGGTGCATATCCTTCCTCCATTATATCTCAGCCAGAGCTACTCTATGGAAAACGGATTCCAAATATCTTGGAATAGCAAGGCTTGCCTAATATCATCAGTAGGGCAACAAAACATCGGCACCCCATTTCCCTCCTCCCAAGCGCGCTATACCAGCTCGTTATCATGAATCGCCCTGTACAACAGAAACGCGACTCACTTCCGAATTGCTCCCCTGCAGGTACCGTCTCAGCCACTGCCGCAGATTCTGTTTTTTTCGACGAAGTACATACCATACTAAATACTAAAATAAAGAAAATAAAAACCATACCCGCTTGATATTTAGCCCAATTCAGCACTGCTCTCCAAACATCCTCTTCTTCCAAGCACAAATAATCCGAAGATATCACTTTTATAAGCGCTTCTTTCCTCAAACTCAAGAACGAATTCGTCTTAACGCACTCCGACGCATTCTCTCCAATATAGCTGATACACCTCTCTACAAAAGTAGACGCTGCATTTCCTCCAGGCGACTTGTCTTGAATATCCATGGCCGCTAATAAAAAACTGCAAGCTGAGGCAACTGAAAGAGTAGAAGTGACGTGATCTTCACAGGCTGTTTTTAATTCGTCAACACTGAATTCCTGAGCTAAAGCCATCATTTCGAAGATCACGTTGTCTTGCAGGAGGATTTTTCCGGTATAGACGTAAAGTAGGAACTGTTTGAACGTTTCTGGAGGTGTTTGAAGTAATCTTACGGGCGTTGGAGTACCAGGTGCTGCAGGAGATACAGTACAACCTAGAAGTCGAATTAAAATTAGGTCGTACCGTTCAAATTTGTAGATTTTAATTTATAAACAGGGTGTTCCAGAGAATAACGTGACAATCGCTCGGATACATAAAAACGTGGCTATATATTTCTAGGGTAGCAAGTACATACAAAAATAAGAAAAAAAAGTTTCTATAAACCCATCATCAAGGAAAAAGGTGGTGTAAGATTCTACGCGATATTGATGATGAAATCGAATACGGACAAAACATGAATATTCCCCAAATAACGCTATATGGTGAAGCAGGATCACTCTCCTAATACAGTAGAATCAATTTTTAATAAGATTATATTTTTTGGATGTTATAATATGGCATGTGCATTACGAAAAACCATAGCACTCATTTCCGTCGATCTGTTTGCCTGTCCGCTAATCATTGGCCCGTCTATAAATTGGGAAGCACTGGCCAAATTTTGATAAAATCTTTACACAAGGGCTTTTTAGTAAACCGGTCAGTGGCGGCGGAGAAAAAGGACAAAAATCGCTCGAACTTCGTTTTTTGACATTTTCTCTGATCATATCAGGAGCATTTTTTTGTAGTGGTTAAAATTTTGGAGTTAGGGGTTGTAGGGGATGGGGGAGGGTCTATGTCAATTTTTTGACGTTGATAATATAATTGTGCACCAGTAGTAATTGCAGACATTAGACATACTTCACTTATTATAGATGTGCCCATACATTTACCCTTAAAACTTAATAAAATATCTCCAACAGTCGCGTGTCGATACGTGCGACATGGCCCGGCTGCTGATCGTGCGTCGCAGTCAGCAGTCGCTTCCGTGCTGCTCAATATCGTCATTCACGCGGGATTCGTCATAGGAATGACCACGTGCGCTCGCTCTATTTCTTTCAGGAGGAGGTAGGAAGGTCATTTAATTTTTTGCTACACATGATCCTAGCTAACTTTTTTCTCAGAAGGGCTAACTTGTGCCGAACATAATTTTTCACGAATAGGTTTCGAGATTTAACCTCTGTCAAAAACTTTGTACGACTTATGTTTACAATTCCAATCCTTATCCATATTCTATCGTCTATTTTGTGGTGATCATTATTTCTACTAACTTGTTGAAGACTTGATTCATGACTAAGAATATTGTTCTTAATAACACCCTGTTTCTAAATAAATAAATAAATAGTCTGTAAGTGAAATCCGATACTGCTTTTGTCATAAACAAACTAAATAGGCCAATTTCATATGGAATTTGAATTACATCACATCTATGTTGACTTGATTTTAACACCAAAACTGAATTTAACTTCAATGTTCAGAAAATCCCGGGCTTCCCGTTTCCTTTTTGGCACCTAGTCCAGAAATACTTGGTTTTCTGGAAGACCACCGGCTCATCATTCCCTGAATATATAAACTCAGAACCAAATTTTTCTGACAGCTTGAGTTCAATGTGCACGAGAGAGAAGTGTGTATATGATATGTTAGGAAGAGATTGGACCGCCTGGATAGCGAAACTCATCATCCTTTGCCTAGCAATGCTGGCGCGGCAATCTGCCGCGTTGCCAATATGTTCCTTGAATTAAGATGCATATTGAACATATGCGTTTGTTTATTCTTAACGCCCAAATAATGGTTTTATTTTGAGCCTACACATTTTTAAATTGTGAATTTGTGTCGAATCTGTTAGGATTGATTCCCGATCGGTCCTAACGGCGCTCTATTTTAGGTCGAAATGAATGGTCAGGATTGACACAGATTCTGCAACATTGCATCATTGGTTCATTTGATAACAGGGCATCTTGTGCCCAAGGCAAGGTTTCCACCTCCATGATCATAGTTGAGACAAAATGATACCATGAGATAAAAAAGTTGTTATTAGCTGCTTTGTTTGTATGTATGTATTGTATAGTATTCTTTTCTCCAGCCCCCCTTCCAGAGATCAGCTTGTTACTCCAAATTCCTGTTCATATGCACTTTTCTAATTAAATTTGGGTTCAGGAATGATCCCTTGTGATTATACCCTGTTTATAGTATCAAATGAAATAATTTTATTGCCTGGTATCCTGCAAACTTCTCCTCTCTTAGCATTCTGGAAGCTCTTACATCTTGCCATAAGAATGACCCTATGTGCGTATACTCGTTCCTCTTGAGGCCCCAAGATGAACACGATGTCCGCGGAGTCATGGTCTTCGGAAAGTCGCTGCAGATCGTCCAGTAACCGTGGCACTCCAGCCAGGGCCTTGTCCAAGGGCAACCCTATAGCCGCGACGGGCATGGCCTTTGTCTTTGAGGAAGACAGCTTGTATTCGTTGTTAGGCCCCCGAGTTACAAAAAAAAAATAACTTTATTTTGATGATATGAGTTAAACCTGTGCCGTTTGTGTCTTCCAATGCCGGTCTTGTGTTATAACTAAGTACATTTTTCGATTTTAATTCCGTATGAAATATTTTGTTGTAAACTAATAAAACTATCCGGAAATTCACTGATCGGGCAAGGAATGACCATTCCACAACAAAACAAACTCTTCACCTTTTCAGGTAGCACTGTAGCAGGTACGCAGGTAGTACCTGCCAACGTTGTCAAGTTTTGCATTGTTCCAGCATCCAGCATATTCTGTATTAAGGCCTATTCATACTCAGCCGTGACGTGACAGTGCTGTGACCGGCACGTGATCCGCCCGGCGGAACGAAAAACATACTTCCTGGAATTTGGATGAACTAATTCACACTAGACCGGCACGTGGAAGTAGCCGTGTTTTCAGGGCCCTAGACGAAGCTGTACCGTTATCATCGTATTGTTCTGGAACGATATTTTTCGATTTTCACGGCCGTGTTTTTATGTAATTTCGTGAATATTTTAATATAATTGGTCAAAAACATGAATGATGAAAAACTAATTGAATTTGTACGGGTGCATCCTGTGCTGTAGAACCAGTCAAATTCAAAATACATAGACTTCCGTGTTCTTCTTCTTCATCTTTCGTAGGTGGTACACGATCTCTGACGGCCGAACGCGGAGGTACCATCCGGCGGATCTCGTAGGCGGGGACAGAATGTGTGCATATTGGATGGAAATGTATTCCCTCGCCACAGTCCCCCTGTTTCCCCCTATAGCACCACGGTACCAAATGCCTGTTTAGGCCTTCGTGGTAGCTGGAGTATAAGAAAATCCAGAATTAATGCAATACTTGCAACTTCATCCTCTGAAAATTTTGCCATCTCGACCTCACGTGAACACAAGTGCACTGTCAGAGCACGGAGAAAAATACTGACCGGTGTGAATTGAAAACACTGTGACCTCACGTCAGCGAGGATCACTGGCACGTCACGGCTAAGTGTGAATAGACCTTAACAGTACTTACCTACGTACAAGCAAACAGATTTACGTTTCGGCGTCTAGATGGTTGCAGATTTTACTAGCACAAAATAAACGTTTTAAATTATTTATGTTTTATTCAAACGGAAAATGGATATAAATTGCTAAAATACACCATATACTAATGGGAAAATGATTATGAATAAAAACATATCTTAAAATTAATGTAGCACCTGACACTTATTCTGATCCTGTGGTTTTCATGCTGATAATCATCCACGCTAAATAAAATCACAAACCACATTACTGTTTACCGACGTTTCGGCCACGACGGTCTTGGAAAAGGTCACCGTGGAGGATTATAAATATTTCTTAAAATTCTAGTGCTCATGCACCAAGTATTTTCCATAACTTTACGATGTATTTCATACCTATATTATGACTGCGATTTTATTATTTACTTGTTAATTTATTTCGACGGTAGAACCATTCTACAATAAAAAAATTAGAAATTTATTAAATATTCAGCAGGCTTAAATGTCCATACAAAATGACTTTACATGACAGTGTTTGAAAATCATAATCACACTAAATTTAAAAGTCACAAAATTAAAAAAACTGTCGAGTCTAGTTCTAAAAATCCGATCAGCATTTTATTAATGTACATAAGTCGATTCAGAGTGAACTTTTGAGCATTTATTGGTGTTAAATCTATTAAAATGTATTCTTCCCAACGGCTCGGGGGACATCGATCATACTGTATATTATTTAATAATTTAAAAATAGAGCACATGTCCAAAAACGTTCTCGTAACTTCAGGCAAAAACAACCCAGTTATCCTAATCGTAGTCTCAATCTCTAGATATGTTTACTTCCATACCCCATTCTAAAACTTATACACCTTAAAAACTTGTCCTGTGTGGCTTCATTGTGTTTTTTGTGAATACCGTATGGCACTAGAGACTTATGTCCCATTACCGATCTTACTAATTAGGCATAAAGCTTGATCATACAAATCAAGTACGTAAGATCCCTAGATGTTCGTGATATCAGCCCCACAAAGTGATAATTTTATCAAAATAAAATATTGTCTCTCAAATATAGGTATAATATTCCCGGATTTGCTCATTTGCAAACATCCCCCTTAAATCTAAAACTAAGCAAGATATGAAAAAATTCAAGAGACAAAAAAAATGTGTTCCTATTTTCGTATTCCAAAATTGAACAAAAGTCAGAGACATATATTTTTTGTCAGAAATATTCGTTCAGATCCCGCTAGAGACGCCACTGGACTTATTAATAAATTTAATCAAGTTAGGACTAAATTAGCTTCTTACTGTCATGAATACCACCGCTAATTTACAACAATTAGGTAAGGGATATTTAAGAAATTTACGAAAAACCATTTTTTTAAAATATTAACACCCTGTATCTTGTGAATGAAGAATTTGCGCATCTATGTTTATATGAATTTTTCGTCTTAAAATTACTCAAATAATCGGGTGTTAAAGATAATTAATTAAGACCTGTATAACTCGGAAAAGAACTGTTCAATTTTGATGAAATTTTTATACAAGGACCATTTTAAAAAAATCCCAAACCTCATTCTCAAACTTCTGATCGGATTAGAGCGTTTCAAGTTTTTAGGAAGGTTTTTGACTTTTTACCAATCAGCATACAATTAGAATAGATTTATATCAATGTATCAATCTAAAGATTCCGATTTTTTATGCGGGAATAGCGACTCAAATCCTGAGGTACCACGACCTTTCTACAGAGGTTTAAGATATATTGTTGATAAAAGTTTTGGTACGCCCAAAATTCACGATATGACACAAAGGAAAATTATCACCAGAGGATTAGTGGAACCAAAACTAAAATTATTATGAAAAACAAATACTTTATTTCTTAAAATATAACGAAAACAAGATGTATTGTTCTGTGCAACTAGCTATCTCTGTGTATGTCTTTCAATTCAACTACATCAGCATCTATGTTATTTATATTATTTACAGGATTGCTATATACATTTTGGTCCAGTAACCAGCTGTGGTTCTTTCCAACTTCTTCTGTTACAACTAAAAACAGTTGTTTTTCTTTGTCTTCCAGTTCTTCCCTAAGATAATTCAGAAGTTCTGATTCCTATAAGAAATAAAATGTTTTGAATCTGAGATTGTATGTAGCTTCTTGATTATGTATTCTCAGTTCTAGTGTATGGGATTCACAATGTAGTTTTGATAAAGAATCTAATGTACTCTAGTCAAATCGGTCAGTCCTTTTTGCCAAGAGACTGGGCAATGTCAAGGAAAAAAGCAGAAGAACAAATAAAATAAAAGCAGATCTGCTTAAGAGGAGACATTAATTTTGATTCAGCTTAAATTAGAGCATAATTTTGGATGCACTAAAAGTTTGCAATAGATTTTGCAAGCCATGGCCTTAGATGATAACCAAGATGCTCCACCTAGTTACTCAACAAAGTGTTGCTAAGTGATTTCACCTAACTCTAACATCACTGTGCTTAGAGCAGGACATAATCCCTCAAGTGAGGGATGTCAAGGTCTCTGTATAGCAGTACTTCATGATTGTTTGGTGTGATACCACATATGCACAAATTACATTTTACTGACCTGTTGGCCACTATGGCAGCCTTTTTGAAGTATAATTGGTTAATATATTCTACTAGAAGATAGTCATCCTAAGGCTATATCCCTGCATTAAATTACCAGTCATCTCTGAGCAATTGTTGTGGCTCATAAATGGCTCTGCCAATGCTCATATAGTTGGCTACACAGTGCCATCTATTAGAGCCTAACCTTTTCAAATTACTTAGAAATATTAATAGAGAAATAGCTTAAATAAATTTTCATTTTATATTGAATGAATTTTTGTTATGCAGGAATATAGCATTAGGTAGGCTATCTTCAGGTAGAATATATCAATAAATGGTACCACTTCATGACCATGACAATACTTTTCAGATATATCTGTCTTCCAGGTGACAGTTCATTTATTTTTCCTTTTCTTCGCTTCTATGAATGTGTAGTGTATCATTTGAGACACACCACGGAGCATTGGCAATTGTTTGTATAACTTACTATTGAGTATTTAATCTGTATAAACTAAACAGACATATTTTTCTTCAATAATTTTGTGAAATTTGTAATTAGCACTTCTTAGATTCAAGATGAAGTTTAGGTATTCTTTTAACAAAACATCAAGTACAAACTTACCTGACCAATAAGCTGTGGAGAATCTAGCTTAGAGTCAAGGTTGTAAAAAAATCCATTTATTTCTCTTATAGTAATCCAGTGTTTTCTCCTCAACAGTAGAGTTATGAAACTAATTTTATAATCACTTGGCACATTCAAAATGAACCCACAAATGTTGTTCAAGTTTAAACAACTAGGATCTCTGAAAAAATATTTCTCAGCATTTTGTTCTAGTAAAGAACTCAAGTTATATCTGTGAACTACCACCCCTTCCTACATGAATATACAGTTTTTTTATTAACATTTCCTTATGAAAATACATTTTGTGTGAAATATTGTCTACAAAATATGAATGACTTGTGGAGTTAGAGCTATTTACAATATTTACATTAAGCTGAACTTACTTCCTCTTATCGAACCAAATAGCCTCATATCCTCTTGACTGTAAAACCTTCATGATAACATTAATATCGTAGTTCCCCAAACCTAATATAGACTTGTGGGGGTTTATCCAGTTATCTGGTGATAGTGAATGACAAATACAGTCCAGTTCTTCTTTTGTAAAAGCATCTTTCGCTTGAAATAGATTGTTCAAGGCATGTAAAGCGCATAATTCTTTGATCTGCTTTTCATGATAGATTTCATTTGATCCCATACCAGTTTCATAATTACATTCCATATTTGCTTTATTGAGGTTATGAATTCATTGCTTGGGATTTGGAAAAGAGGGATATTCGAAAATGTATTTCTACCTAAAAGAAATCGTATTGTGATAAAGTTTTTCATAGAATATTTAAATTTATTGATTACGTTTTCAAATATAAATATTTACCTGTCAAAAAGGTATGACATGAGTCAACAGTAAAATTATATCAAACTGTCAAAAATTAGTGCCCTGATCTGAAGCATTTACTATCGATACGATAGTTATTATATAAAAGAGTATGCCTGACCTGATACTAGCGCCTTCAGTTTAGATGTACGATTTATAAATTTTGGGAAATGAATATAGCGTATACGCAGTTCTGGGTGAGTTTTCACAGTCGGGCGACTAT